CCGCGGTTCGATCCCCCAGCACCACATGCCAGCCAGCCCCGCCCCCTGGTGGGCTGAGCTGGCCACACACACACACTAAATAAATAAATGTTTTTTTAAAAAAAAGAATTATTGTAGCAGTCTTTTCTGGGAAATACAATGATACAATGGAGTACATCCAGAGAGTGGTAAGGAGGAAGTTTAGTTTGTAAATTTTTTTGATGCATAGATCATTTTGCTGTGCATAATGTACTGTAAGGAAGGACATCTATCATAGAGTGTCAACTGTTGGTGTCACCTACATAGTCTCAAGGCACTAACTTTTGATCATTTCAACCAAAGTGCAAACTGAACGTTTGAGTAAATCTGCCTATCCCAATCTACTAAATTTGAATAATTACATGTAATTGTTGTCCCTGTACTGAAAACATATGTTAATTTCTGATAAGTTAAATTTTATATGTGCATTCCTAATTTATTCAACCATTGGGTATCAGAACCTTTTCATGTAAATTGTAAATATTTTCTACTCCTTCTACCACTATAGAAACACAAAAGAGATTTCAGAGAGGCAGGAAAATTTGCTATTTAAAAATAAAAGTAGATAATGTAAAAATCACTATTTCTTAACAATTTGTTTCCTATGCCTATAGAATCCCCATTAGATTTAGAGAGATAGGGGAACCAAGTACAAAATGATGATTTATTGAGATTTTCAGGAATGATCTAAGAGTAAGGTACAGCATTTGACAGCAGTCACTGTCACACATAAACACAAGCATGCAGGTGCACACAGGTCATTGTAGATGAGTGATATCATTTGTGGAATGCAAGGACTTACAGCCCAAAAGTGTTAAGTTTTTCATAGTCTGCTGACTTCGATATTACTTCTTAGTAAAATCTGAATAGAGTAAAACTTTATATCAAACTACAGATGCTAAAAAAAATAGCTGATACAGAAAAAATGCAAGTAAATTTATTTTTATTTATTTTGGTACTGGGAATTGAACTCAGAACCTTGTGCTTGCTAGGCAGGCACATATACTGCTGAGTCATCTCCCCGGCCCCCAAGTAAATTTATTCATAGGCATTTCATTTTTGGTTTTGAAATCTACCTTTTGAAGTTATAGCAAATTCAGTTTGAAAATTTTTTTACTGTTCTGACACCAACCACCTGGTCCAGATAGCTACCATAAAAATATCTTCTAGAATTATGCCAAGAATAATCCTATAGCTGTAATCACTGCAAGCCTAGTATAAATGTGGGTGTTTGCAGTCAGAGCAGTTCTGCACTGTAGCTCAATCACCATTGTCCTTGATGTTAGAGGCGTTAAATGCTCTCTTGGAAAATTAGATGCTGAAAAGCAGAAATTAATCAAAATGTGTAACATCCATTTGTGTAAATGTTGTGTTCCTGCTTCAGTTAGTATTGTTTTGTGTTAGAACTTACAGTAGCAGCACTCCACCAACCATGCATGTATAACTGGACCCTACTAGATGCCTGATGCTGTATATACTGTTTTTTCTCTAATATATGCTATAGTCTTATAATGAACATATATTCTTTAATTTATAAATCAGGCATAGCAATAGACTAATAGCCATAGCTAATATTAAAATTGAATATAGTAATGTTCTGTAAAAGTCATAAGTATGTGGTCTCTCTCAGTATTTTATTTTATTCTCTCAGTATTTTATGTAGTACTGTATTTTTGAAGTATATTTGACTACAGATAACTGCAACCTTACAAAGTAAAGCCACAGATAAGGGGAGAGACTACCATACTGCAAAAGCTACACCCATACTGTGAGAGACCGTGCAAAATGGGGCTTACCTCACGCCGCAGACACTCTTTTGATTACCAGATCTTTGTATCAGTGCTTTATGTGTCACACATGTTCCACGTTGCCTGGGATGGTGGAGGTGTCCCTCATGAACCCCATCTCCTGTCCTTACCCTACCTCCCGTACCTCTTTCAGTCTCTGCTTAACTCCTTTCCACCTCCTAAGATGTCATCTCCTGCCTTAGAAATCAGCAAGCCCCAAAGCTCCCTCCATGTTTTAAGTGTTGTCACCTATTCTAGTGTCTGCTGGAAACCATTTTTGTCTTTTGTAAGGAGTTCTGCTGCTTTCACTTAAGACCAGTGTGATTAGAGTCAGAGGAAGAACAGTTGTTTGACCCTCCTGCCGGTTTGCTGTTTGTTTGGGGGGATTATTGTCTCTACGTGTGTAAAATTATGCTGCCTGCCGTTCTTGCATAGTTCCTGTCTGGAAACACCACATCTCCTGATAAGGTTGGCGTTTTTTCACCACTGTATCTTGAACTCATTGTTCTGAAAGAGCCTTTGGCTCTTCCTCCCTTTGGATCACGATTGAAAGCACTCTTTTAGAATTGTGCTCAGCCAGCTTTTCCTGGTTTCTTGAGCCTTCTTCAGGCCAAGTCTTGTTTGAAGTCTCCTCTAGTTAGGGGAAGTCTTCCAGCAGCTTCATTCCTGCAGTGTCTGTTTCAAATGGTTTCATGCAGCATAGATAAAGAACCTTTTCAGTTCATCTAATAGCTATAAATAATGTCAGAACTTCGTTTATTTATTCAGCAACATATTTTAACACCTATATGCCTCCCATCAGCCTGCTGTTTTTTTTCTGGACATTTTAGCCATCCTACTACAGGGCAACTTTCAAGCATAATGATTTCTTCATGGCAGCTGAAATAAATCTCTTGTTGCCAAAGTTCAGGTTTCAGAAGGAAAAATAAGCACCATGGAAAACAGCAACAAAGAGTATACACAGATAGAGTACTGCAAATGCATGTGATGTTTTATTACATAATTAATATAAGGATATCCTGATGTAGTAAGGAGAATGTATACACAAATGAAAAACTTAAATTAATGGTATCTTACTCACTGATTCCAGTTGCATAACGCTGTTGAAACAAAGAGATGATGGAGTTAGAAGAAAAAAAGGAAAGAACAACCTGATGGCTATAGATAGTATTTCAGGCCTCCTCAACATAAATTCATGAATTAATTCCTTTTATAACACACACACACACACACATAGATAGATAGATAGATAGATAGATAGATAGATAGATAGATAGAGCTTATAAAGTAGCTCTATCTGGGAATAACTTTGTCATGGCACAGTCTCTCTTCTATCTTGTATTTCTACAAAAATATAAAAAGGCTGCATCCCATTTACTTCCTTAATTAGATCAATAATATTTAATCCAATTAGAAAATATAATCATAGATGTTTTCAGTCAAGCATTATTGATTAGCCCTAACTAAACTTGATGCAATTTTCCTTTTGCAGATGCAAGTATTGGCATTACGATGAAAACCTGCTCACTTCGAGTGTTGTCATTGTCTTCCATAATGAAGGATGGTCAACACTCATGAGGACAGTCCACAGTGTAATCAAAAGAACTCCAAGGAAGTATTTAGCAGAAATTGTGTTAATTGATGACTTCAGTAATAAAGGTAATGACTGTGGACTTGACATTTTGCTGATAAAATAAGTTAAAATATAAGTACTTACCAGTGTGATTTTTAGAATAGTTTTTAAAATTCAAAAGTTGTGTGTTTTGACAGCATTGACTATCACTGAGTTGACACTGCTAAGAGTTGTATGTGAATTATTTTGTTTAATCCTAGTAATGATAATCTTTGGAATAGATATTGCTGTTATTTCCGTTTTACACAGGAGGTTCAGAGATTTGAAGTCACTTGCCAGCAGTCACAGAGGAAGTGACCAACAGCTGAATCAAAACCTGTAGGCTCATAAGTCTTGTGTCTTCAACCATTGTCACATACTGTACTAATTCTTTGAGGCTTGCACTTGGTAAAATTTAATCATAGGGACCGTGGAGATAGCTCAGCAGTCTAAGCACCTGCCTGGTAAGCTCAAGGACCTGGGTTTGATCCCCAGTGCCACATGCCATGCTGGCCCTACTCTGAGCATGCAGACCTGGCCACCAAGACTGGGCGTGATGGTGCATGCCTATAATCCCAGCGCTGGGGAGGCTGAAACAAGAGGATCACTATGAGTCTGAGCTGCATAGTGAGACCCTGTACCAAATACATAATTTTTTTTAAAAATTTAATCATAGAAGTGATTTATTGAAGGCCGAAGTTACACAGTCATGTATATATTGTAGAAATCCATACAGCTGTTGTATAGCCTTTATTTTGCATTTGAATATTGATGCAAATATTGGATTTGGCCAAAAATAATGGATTATTTTTATTTCTGTTTTTTTATTCAGCATGTCAAATAAAAGGAAGTTACTTTTTTTTTTCAAGGGGTTGGCTACTGTGGTATTTAGGAAGGCATTGGTGAGTCTTGGTTCAACTTGGCAAAAAAGTGATTGAGCAGTGATTTTCCAGATAAGCAGTTTTTAAAGTTAACTTTATTATCCTTAAATACATGCTTATATGTTGAATAAGTATTCTCAGTGACTTAAATATGAAAATATAGATAATGCTATAGCTCAGATCCTAAGTTAACGTGTGTCCTCATCACCTCTTTGACCCTGAGACACCCTACCTAACACCTGCAGCTAAAGAAGAAAAGTGTGTTTTGGCCCAGTTTTCAGTCCACAGCCCAGCGGCTCTTGGGCAGGACAGCTCGCAAGAGACACAGGAAAGGCTGCTGACTTCGTGCTGAGCAGAATGCAGGGAGAGGAGGGAGTGGAGCCCGGGAGGGAGAGACATCTGGATCCTGGGATCCTGGCACCTGCCACCAGTCTGACCAGACCCAGCCGCCTCAGAGCAGGCAGGCGGTGCTGCCTGTGGGGCCCTTTTCAATCCAAACTGTAGCAGCATGTAAATGAAAATGGAAACTTGCTGCAGCAGCCTGGCCTGGATATTTTTTCATTCCTCTTGTCACAAAGCAGAACTGAAACAGAATTGACCCAAGAGCTCAGATTACTCAGTAACAAGAAGCTGTTTGCACTTTGGCAAATAAGTTTTGCAAAAACATTTTCTGTGTAAGGAGAGATACCGTGAAAATGATGTTAGCAGTGGAGACAGACTGTGGATGGCATAAAAATACATTTCCAAATGCCTTTATAAAAGCTTCCTTCCTCAGGAATTTAACTCGGGAGCTTTGCTGTTTGGATAGACCCTTGCTGTTTTTATAAGAACAGAATCTAATTCTGCACGCCTACTTTGGCCTTAAAAGAAATACAAATGTGACTTAACGTTCTTTTTCTCCATCTTTGTTCCAGTCCTTTTCCCCAACAAATCATTTTTAATTACACAAAAGAATGTATGACTTTCAAGTTTTTTTTAAAGTTTTTAGTCATAGTGAGTGGGATTAGGTTAGAAATCTTACTTTACAATTTTGTGTAATAGAAATATCTACATCAGAAATATTTTTTCTTTCCCAAGAAAAATATTTGAAAACATGTTCTGAGGTGATATTGCTCAGACCAATAATATTTTAGGTTTAGAAAAATCTGAATCTATTAGTCAACTCTGATAAATCTATCTTTGTATGATTTTTTAAAATCTTTTATATTTATGCAAGTAACATTTCAACATACACTAAAAAAGTACAGATACACCAAAAAGTATTTGCCGCCCTAAAGTAACTGCTTGGCACCAGAAAAGGAGAACAGAATTTTGGGCTTAAATGTTTGTGCATTGTACTTTTAACTTTCTATGACCAATGCTTCTGTTTATTCAAATCTAATACTCAGTCTCTTGTACCACATTTTAAAATAGTCATTCACAGTCACTTTAACTTAGACTATGCAGGGCCTGTTAGGATCTTCCATTTGTTTCTACAATTTCAAAACAACTTTAATATCCTTTGGTTTTAACTTTACTACAGTCATACAGTATTTGAGTCATTCAGCTTGGGTGAAAATATGGATTGTATTTTCCAAGCATATTCAAAAAGGAAACTTGGAAGCTATAATTTTTGTTTTAGAGACAAAAATGATAATATAAAAACCTGGGGCTTGGGCTGGCGAGATGGCTCAGTGGTCTAAAGCACCTACTTGGAACAAGCTTGGCAAAGCACAGGGACCGCGGTTCAATCCCCCAGCACCACATGCCTGCCAGCTCCGCCCCCTGGTGGGCTGAGCTGGCCACACACACACACACAATAAATAAATAAACAAATAAATAAATAAATAAAAAACCTGGGGCTGGCC